CCCCCCCCCCCCTCCTACCCTTTACCCTCTCCCCCGGGCCCTGACTCTTTTTTCAGCCTTTCTGCTGCAACTCCTTGGCTCCTTCTTACTGTTGTCTTTCAGTCACACCGCTAATCTTATGGTAGATAAGATCTAATACCTAGCCTTCTTGGATAAGGATGAAAAAAATATCGGAGGTCCGGTGTGCAAGTTGCGCAAGTTGAAGATGCATTGATAGTCTTAAAACCCATAAAAATAGGCTTCGGCCGCCACCCGGGCAAAATTCAGAATTATTACCAAACTGGAAGTGCTCAATGTATCCCGCACGCTTATATGACCTTATGCAGTTGCGAGCACTTAGAAAAGCAAAAGAAAGAGAAGAAAGATAGTAATCAATTTACCTTTCTACAGCAAGATATCCCTCTAAACAGTTTGGCATACCATCATCAGGACACGGTGTGGGTATAGGGATACAGTCGTAGACAGGACACGGGCCCTCAGAGTAACTGAGGGTAGAATGTCGCAACAGCGTCAATGCATTGACCGAACATTTCGAGTTGCAAATTTCTTCTCTTCTCTAGTTCTATGAGTCGATTTTTATGCGGGATATGGAGGTGCAAACATTTTTTTTTCTCCGCACAGTGGTTTTTTTTTAAAAGACGTAATGTTTATTGTTCTTTCGTTTATGTACTGCTGAACTCACAGTTGACATTTGTAAAGGCAATCTGCGATAGGATCCAGGGACATCTTCAATTCAGGAACGTACCTTCGTTGGTTTGAACCATAGATCTAATATAATGCATGCCCCTAAAAGAACGGATTGTCCGAATAAAAACACAACACTCTACAATATCACACGTAATAACCATTTTAAACCTGGCTACAAATGAATATGTAATTTAAGAAATAAATCAAATATAAAAAGTTAGTATTTAATACGTCAGTCAATTGGAATTAGCAGAATAAACATGAAGAAATCTTAAGTTGCCAATGGTTCAGACCTTATAACCAATTCAGTGCCCGGGAAGCACGTAACCTGTATTTGCGGGCATGGCAGAGTTGTTGAGGGTGGCAGAGTCTGAAAAAAGGTAAAACGTAAAGTTTTCTTTTTTTTTAGGATTAAGTATCGGTGCTTCATACTAAAGAATCCTGGCTTTGCGAGCATTCTGTAAAACTATTTTCAAATACTCATGTAATTCTTCAAAAAGTATTATTAGTTCACATAGTTCATCTTGTCCTTCACATACAACTCAGCTGATTTGTTTTCGGACAAGTCGTAAATACAAACAAGAACCCTCTCTAACATAAACATGATAATAAATGTACGTGTCTGGGCAATTTAAAAAACTCAAATGGAAATAGGGTCGTACATTGATATCACTAATTCCATCCCACATCCCTCTGTCTGTCAGTCTGTCTGTCTGTCTCTCCCCCATTCTCTCTCTCTCTTCGCTCTCTCTCTCTCTCGCTCTCTCTCTCTCTCTCTCTCTCTCTCTCTCTCTATATATATATATATATATATATATATATATATATAATATAGTGTCTCTCGTTCACAAACAAACACACACACACACACACACACACACACACACACACACACACACACACACACACACACACACACACACACACACACACACACACACATACATACATACTCAAGCACAAACATACACGTACATATAAATACTCACACCTACGTAAGCACACAAACACACTATATTATTTCCCTTATTTTTCCCCTGACACTCACCCTTTGCTAAAAAAGCATGAATGAACTTTACCCAAAGTATCTTAATTTAAATTCAGATACTGGAAAGAAGGTCTAGAGAAAAAATGAGACACAGAGAGAGAGAGAGAGAGAGAGAGAGAGAGAGAGAGAGAGAGAGAGAGAGAGAGACAGAGAGACAGAGAGAGACATACAGAGACAGACAGAGAGAGATAGAGAGAGAGATAGAGAGTGACAGACAGACAGACAGAGACGGACAGAAACAGGGAGAGACAGAGAGAGAGAGGGGAGAGAGAACAGAGAGTAACAAAGAGACAGACACTCAAACAGACATACACTTGACAGAGAGAGAGAGAGAGAGAGAGAAAGAAAAAGAGAGAGTGAGAGAGAGAGAGAGAGAGAGAGAGAGAGAGAGAGAGAGAGAGAGAGAGAGAACACGTAATACTAACACAAGTTTTCGGTCAAAATGTTACTTACTGGCGTTGGTGTTGGCGTAATACACTCATAATCAATAACGCAGCCGTCACTGTTCGTTCTGCGAATGAAAAGATGAACATCCATTAAGGGGGGGGGGGGGGGCTACACCTGGAGGCTATCTCGCCTATTACTGGACCGAATTTTACCAAATTTCACACACATGACAAGCATAGTAAGGAGTCTTAAAATCCGCAATGTTTCGTTTCCATGGATACGCCGCCATATTGGATTTTATTGACATGTCTTACGTAATGAATACCGCACTTATCGCTCATGGAAGTTGATTGTTTTTTTGCATGCGTGTTTACAAACATTAGATCTAAAAATTTGTCTGTTGTTTTTTTCCTAAACGAATTAGACAATTTTTAATGAATTTTTTCCTGAGGTAGTATTCAAGTTTGTGAAAAATCCATGAAAATCCACACTCCAGACACCACCAACAAAAATCTATTTCATATATCAAATATTCAACAAACTAATTTTTAGTATCAGCTCTTCTCTTCATTCTGTGAAAATTTCATGAAGATTGGATGGAAAATGGTGGAGTTATTTAAAAAAGTATACAGAAAAGTCGCGTTTTGAGAAAACGGCCGATAAAGAAAAATAAGATACTGACTTAATGAGGAAATGGTGGTTACAAACATGCCCGGTGTGGGTAAAAATACGATTTTGGGGGGTTCTAAATAGTTGTAGGAGAGGCTGAGGAAGCTAAAAATGCCTACAACTCAAATTCCATGATTTTGAGCCGAATTTTGACTTTAAGGGGGTGTAGCCCCCCCCCCCCCCCCCCTTAAAGTATTCAAATAATGTAGATTTTACAATACATACTAGGGTAGCTGAGAAGAGGAAAGAAAGATGAGGTGGTGGAAATGTGTACGTATGTATGTATGAGTAGAAGGAGGAGGGGGAAAAGAGAGATTGAGGGGAGAGTGAGAGAAAGCAGAAGCGGTTTGTTAACTGAGTGCCGGTCAAATTTTTGTCAGCTGGACTGTTGACAAGAGATTCATTGCTGATGATGATTTTCATTCAGTTTTAAGTAAATCCAAAGAAACATGTATCAACATTCTGTTCTTTTCCTTGTTTCATTTTCTTAATGGCAGCTTGTACTTCTGCTTTCAGTATTGGTGATTCATTTCTTTCTTTCTTTATTACAGGTTTTTCTCCTCTATTGTCTTTGAAAAGACCTTCTATGTTTCCTGAACATCTGTTTAAGACATTCCCTTTGTCCATTAAAATATATCTACCTTTTGTTGGATCATGAACTCCTTTAACGCTGTTATCTGAGATATCAATTTTGTTTTCCATAACTGTTCTTGGGAGATTACAGCAGTGGTTTCCCGTTGCCTAATGCTGGTTTGAGTACAGTTTTCTCAGCTGGTCACTGTTATCCATTGACACCCCACAAGGTAGTGGGGGCTTTGGTATGATTTATGTCACGTCTCGTCCCCAATTTTCAAGTGCATGAGGTATTTATTGAAGCACCTGTGCCACCAGGGTTCTCCTCTACTCTCCACGACTATATCCCCTTTGGTTCGCAGCTGCTTAGCAGATAACCTGTATATCTGGAGACCTTCCCTCTATCCACCACCCGCGGAAGCGCTGGGTTGGGTATGCACCAAGTACTAAATCTTAGCGCTTGTCCAAAAAATATTATTATACTTATCTCTCATTTGGTTATATTTCTTTTTAATTGGGTAACGTTGTTGATTAGCTTCACTGTATTTCTATAGGAAGGGAACGACATAAAACAGTCCAAGAAAACACAGACATTACAGGGATATGTTCATACGTACTGTGTTTCCATCGTGGACCCTGGGGGGCACGGTGGGGGTACGGGGCAAGGAGGAGTAGTAGTTGGTGGTGGTAAGGTAGAAGGCGTATAGCTTGTTTCCTGAAACAAAGCGTGAAACAGCCAATGGCAATGAAATTGGCGTTTTCTTTGTTTCGACATGATATGAGTATAAATGATACTTCTTTGAGTACCTACTTTCATGGTAAAAGCTAGCAGACAAGTAAACTACAAATGAACAACTCGAAAACACATATGGAATGTTTACTCTTTTCACTCACTCGCCCACATACGCACAAATACACACACACACACACACACACACACACACACACACACATACACACACACACGCACACACATACACACACACACACACTCACATACATACAAACATACACACAAACACACACACAAACACACACACAAACAAGCAGATACGCCACCCTC